CCCTGACATCAAATAAAGATGCCGGATGGATGAAGGCCGAGGGCCTCTATGATAGCCCCGACATCAAATAAAGATGCTGAAGGGGCGAAGGTCGAGGGGCCTGTATGATGCCCCCCGACATCAAATATTTGATGTCAGAGAGATGTAAGGCCGAGGGCCGTTGTGATACGGAATCACGCTGAGGCCGAGGGTCGTTGGTGATGTAGAATCATGGTTAGGTCGAGGGTCGTTCATGATGTTGAGTCACGTTGAGGCTAAGGGCCGTTTGTGATGTGAAATCATGTTAAGGCCAAAAACGTTGTGACGTAGAGTCATGCTGAAGACGAGGGGCTTTCCTTGATAGTTCTGGGAGGCCGCGTGTTAGTCCTCCGGGTGTATGTGCCTTCTTTTAGGCTTCGGTCGAGGGGGTTGCTTCCCCGCCTCGGCCGAAAGGGGGTCCAAGTGATCCGTCCGGGGGTTCGTCTGTTAGTCCCCCGGCGCTGGGCCGTCCCTTGATTGTGTCAAAAGGTCGTATGTTAGTCCTCCTGATGTGTGTTCCTTCTTTCAGGCTTCGGCCAAGGGGGTTGCTTCCCCGCCTCGGCCGGAAGGGGGTCCAAGTGATCCATCCGGGGGTTCGTCTGTTAGTCCCCTGACGCTGAACCGTCCCTTGTCCTTGGGGTCCAGTCGTCTATTTACGTCACGAGCTAGGCTTGGTCGGTTTCTGACGACTACCGTTTCACCTCCAAGTGTGGGGATTTCGTCACCTCGGCCATTCTTTCAAGCCCGTCGCCGTGCGTTGCGCGCCGGTGACGTGGTGAGTGTCCCGCTCCAAAAACGCGGGCCTTTTGTAGGCCCCTCGTCTTTAGAAATCATCGGCCATACCTGGGCATTTGGCCTCGAAGGGGCCGATAAGATGTCTGGGTTGTGTGGTAGTTTACTTAAATCCATAGAAATAAGCGGAATACAAGGGGTGTGTTGTTTTGACAACGACTTTGTTAAGATAAGTGGCTCGAGGCTGAGGGCTCTAGGCCGAGGGGATGATAATGTGCCTCGAGGTTGAGGGCTTGAGGCTGAGACCGAGGCCGAGGGAGAAGAACATGATTCAGCGGAGGTGGCGCTTCTTCGGTTGGGGCTCCTCAAATTCCTCGTCTTCGCTGAACCTCCCAATTTCACGTTGTTCGTTGAGGTGTCCCCATCTTTCTTATCGGTGTTCTCCCTAGCGTTTTTCCTTGGGGCATTTTTTATGAACTTGTGGAGCTCACCCCGTTGTATCAAGAGCTCAATGGCTTTCTTTAGCGAGACACAATCGTTAGTATCGTGGGAGGTGCTTCTGTGGTAACGGCAATAAGTGCCACCCTGGTGGACGGCGTAGATCTCTCTCGCCGACCGAGGGTCCTTCGGGAAAAGGTCCTGCTCTTCCGCATAGTTGAGGATAGTGCTCACCGGGTACGTGAGGGGAGTCCTCGGCATGTCCAGTCAAGGGCGCCATTGGCGGTCGTTCCGTCCCTACTGGGTGTGGCTTCCATGGTCTCGGCCCCCGACCGAGGGCGCATTCGGGGCCAGCGTGTTGTTTGTCTTCTTCAAGGGTTGGCCTCCGTCCTTCTTGAAGAAGTGGAGGTCATCAGCGTCGGCGTATAGGCTCCCTCACAGGAGTGCTTTGGCGGGTCGGTGATGAGGCTCCGTGCATAGGGGCTGCTGCGGAGAACCCCTTGGAAGAGGGCGAGGAGGGTACGCTCGTCGGCGCCCTCGACCTCATCTGTCTCCTTCATCCACCGGTCAATGAAGGACCGAAGTGTTTCATCAGGCTGTTGCTTGATGGAGAGGAGGTGGTAGAAGTGCTTTTTCGCGAGTGGAGAGGAACCAACGGCATAAATATTCGTCAGATGCATTGACTATCAACATGTTGTTTTGATATCGGCTGAAATGTTCCTGGGGGTCGGTGCGGCCGTCATACGGCTTCATAGTGCTTCCCCGGTATTTCTCGGGTATTGGGGCCGAGAGAACCTTGGTGGTGAAGGGGGTCTTGGTCCTGACCTGGATGATGGGGTCACCGCGCCCCTCAGCGAATTCCCTCTCCAGAGCACTGAGTTTGTTCATGAGGGCGTCAAAGCCTGGATTCCTCGATGAGTTGGCCGTAGGAGTGGCAGCCAGTTGTCTTGCTTCCATCTCAGCGAGCCTTCTTTCAAGTTGGGCGATGATTTCGTTCCGAGGGCCCTCGACGGCCGTGGCGGCGCCGGGGGCCTGGTTACGAGCCGCATTGATGTGGTGGCGTGCGTCCTCCTCGTGTAGCTTGCCTTTGCCTTTGCCAAGACGGGGCCGATCCGCTATCCGGGATACAGACCCAAAGCTCTCCCTCAGTGAGACAGGCTCACGTTGACCCATCCGTCCCGCCAGCCTCTCCGATGTTGGCCGACGGTGCGCATCCCCTAACCTATTGAAGGTTGAAGGTCTATGCACTGGGGCCGGTCCAGCTCGGGGAGGGGAAGCAGGATCGAAGCGGGAGGGCGTGTCCTGAGCCCTGACCCCCTCATCGTTGCGTACATTCATGACCAACAGATGAGGAGGGGGCGGAGAGAAAGGGACAATGTTCCCCTCGGCATGGGCCGGGGGTGGTACCCGAGTTCCGAAGGCTCCGGGATTCTGGGTGAGCATGTGGATGAAGGCAGATATGACCGATTGCATATCGGCGGTGAGGACCGGGGGGCTCACCTGAATCTCACCCGGATCTTTCCTTTGGGCCTCGATGCCGAGGCAGGCATCGAGAACGTTCTCTTGGAGCTGAAGGGGTAGGTCTGCAGTGACCTGCACTATTTCGGCGAGGGCTCCGCCTTCGGGAGCTTTATTGGAGACCTCGGCAGTGTCAATCCCGAAGGCTTTATTGGAGGCTTCAGCCTTGGATTGGACACGAGTCGCTCTTCCCATTTTGATGAGTGTTTTTGTTTTTCCGAAGGGGAGGGTTTCTTACTTGATTATTCGACCTCTCAATGATAGCACCAAATGATGGATAACGTACCCTGGGGAGTAGCTTATCCGAGGGGTTATTACAAGGAATAACCTAGAGAGAAGTCAGAGCAAGTAAGTAAGAGAGAGAGAGTCAAATGTATTAAATGAACTCATTGTGTGTTTTACAAGGTGAATGAGGGCTGTTATTTATAGCAGCTATAAATGCAATGAGAGTACACGTGTTAACAATCTAACGGCCGAGGGGTCACCTCAATCGGGGTGGCACCGACATATGCATGTGCACCGCATTAAATGCGGTGGGTGGATGTGACGCCGTATTGAATGCGGTGGTTGGCTGTCTCTAAAACGAATCTTCGTCGATAGTTCTGTTGTCGAAGGCATCGTGTGACCGAAGGCATCATGTGGCCGAAGGCATCGGATGGCCGAAGGCATCGTGTGACCAAGGCATTGTGTGGCCAAAGGCATCGGGTGGCCGAAGGCATTGTGTGGCCGAAGGCATCATGTGGCCGAAGGCATCGGGTGGCCGATGGCTAACATTTCAGCCAGGTTTTTCCAGAAGCTTTGCTGGACCATATTAAGACGTCTCCCATAATTTGGAGCCCTCAGCCATAGGGCCGAAGGCATCCACGTGTGCAGCGTGGACTTCTTCATGCTTGGGCCGCTACGTTTGGGCTTTGTGTGGTCATCGGGTTTGATGGGCCTGTGTAGAAGAATCAGGAGTCTGTGGGTCGGGGTGTCCCAGACCATATACTCCATCACACAGGTATCTCACATTCCGGGTATCAGATTTCGTCCTGTATAAGAGATTACCTCGAACCAAACGTGCCCTATGAGTATACTTCTCTACAATATTATAAGCGGGAATTTTGTCAGGGGTTTAACAGTTATAACAAATGTTGGTGCATCTTCATGTATAATCCGATTGTACTTTATATTTATTTTTTGTACTTTGTTAACCTATAGCAGCTTCCATTACTAACGGAAGGGTTCAACCACTAAATTTGATTTTATCAGTCAATCAAGTAAGAAACGTGGTTGGACAGGTTGTTCACTTGGCACTACCACTAATATACTTCTTTAGCATATAGCTTGAGGCCACCGATGTCAATGACAATATTTAAGAAGCATGTGCTAAGTTTACTATCCCAATTGATTTTCCACTTCCAAATGAAAACTGATATTACGTGAGAGAGTAACTCAGCCTTTGCTCAACTGTCCCTCGTAGGCTTATACAACACTAAAACATAAAAATGAAGAGTTTAGTTACATTAAATATTAAAAATTCAAGTGCTACAAATTACTTGATTTCATGGGGACATTTAAACAAACACATAGAGGACATAAATATAAAGGGGAAACTACACAATTGGAAGATGGAATCATCAACCTAAGCCACTCAAACTACTCCCATAAAAAATTCTGGTAGCATGAACCGTACAACTACAGAGGGTTTTGGGAGGCGGTACAATTGAAAATAGGGAAATACAGAAAAATCTTCGCGGATAGGGAAGTAAGTACACGAAGGCGCATGTATTGAGCAAAGATGCGGAGAACAATAACAATAAAGCAACCATACAATGTAAAATGCTTGAATAGAGGAAAAAATTACAAGAGTAGAATAGGCAAGAATCAGAAAATCTGTTGAACAGTTGGAACATATTATTTATAATCAACAAGCTTACCTTTGAGTAAGTAAACGGATGTTCAGAAGCCATTACTATGGAGGCTAAAATGCTGAGCGGCTGAAACGGAAGAGAGGAGATTAGGGGTTTTATCGATGCATGAAATAAAAGAAAATAGAGTGAGCTAACCAAGTACAACAAATAAAAGAAATAGATCGAAGTAATCAAAGACCTGAGTTATTTCCTCCGTAAGTATACGAGACGTTGCTATAGGTTAACAAAGTACAACAAAATAAATACTAATACAAAGTACAATCGGATTATACATGAAAATACACCAACATTTTTTTATGACCGTTAAACCCCTACAAAATTCCCCTAGAGATAATGTATTTATGTCTTTCGGTTTTGGGCCTGATTGCACAATTGTTAATAATTTGTTGCCTTGTATGCCCTTTTCTCCCTCTTAAACCAAAAGCGACACCAAACACTCCCTTACACGGCTGGTAACCTGGTTCCCTTTATTTGCTCCCATTGCAACCTTATCTGCCAATTCAAAGTCCTTTCTTCTTTCTCAATTGAAGCTGCAGCTATGGCTACTCAACAAGTCATCAAAGTCGCCGGCCTCTGCGGCTCTCTGCGGAAAGGTTCCTACAACCGTGGTCTCCTCCGCGCAGGTACTATTCCCATGTTTCTCGCTCCATTATCTTCTTCTTCTCTCCACACGTATGTGTTTGTTACGCTCACTAGATCTAGTTCAATCAGTGGAATCTGATAGTCGATCAGTGGCGCACGAGCATTTAGTTTTGCATAATCACTTCAATCACGAGTCACGACTAGTTTATAACAACTGAAATTTGCGTGTGCGATTTAGATGATGCTGATTTAGTAGCTAATTACTGGTTCTAGCAATGGAGATAAGCAAGGAAGGGATGGAGGGAATCGAGATAGAGTACGTCGATATATCGGCGTTACCGTTTCTAAACACCGATCTCGAGGTCAACGGAACCTTCCCTCTGGCAGTGGAGGAGTTCCGCCGGAAGATTCTCAAAGCTGATAGCATCCTTTTTGCCTCCCCCGAGTACAACTACTCCGTCAATGGTAACTATACCTGCTTATACCATTTCTGTTCCATTCATTCATTGATTAGTTTTTTGGCAACTTTGATTTCGTGCTCTTCATATGTAATAATCAAAATAGGTAAGGTCATTTTTGGGCTGAATTGGTTGAAGGCTATTCTAGCTATTTTCATATAACCTTTTATTTATTTATTTTATTACAAATTAATTTTTAAATATACTTTTTTCATAATTGAGAATTTCATCAATTTCAGTAAAAGTAGCTGATTCAGCTATTTTCAGAGTCGGCTTAGTAACACTCAATTTGGCTGAAACGGTTAATTTTGCTAAAATTTATGAAGTTTTGGTTGAAGTGCTAGATTGCCCGATTCTGCTGATTTATAAAAAATTTATATTTTAAAATATACACCGTAATTAATTAATAAAATTAAGAAAAAAATATTATAAATAATTCAAATGGCCTTCTACAAAAACTTCAGCCAATTCAGCTTAGAAAAATTATTCCAACCTTACTTATTTTGATTGTTACTAGCGCGCGAAATCAAAAGCTACGTGTTTGGTGAAAAAATCGGTTGATAAAGATGATAGGGCGAAGAATAGGGTCACCAAATGGACTCTAATATTAATATATAAGAACAAATCTTAAGACATTTGTTTTTGACAAATTAGAAAATTGAGCATGAAGGGTAAATTCCTTAATGCCATAAATAGGAGAGCACCATAATTTTGAGTAATAAAATGGTACTCCGTAATTGGTAGATGTGGGTGAATGAAAGGTATTTATCATTATGATAAATATTAATAGTAGGAGATTTTTCATTAAATATTACTCCCTATATTAATAGTAGGAGATTTTTCATTAAATATTACTCCCTTCGTCACCCTGTCATTGTCCCATTTCCTATTCACTTGGTCAACACAAATCACTCTTAATCTCTTACTTTATGTATCAAATTTTTAACAAATTTGATTCTGGTTTTTGTGACTTTGTAAATCTTTTAATGTAGTTTTTGAATATGTAATTTTTTTTTCTAAAAATAATTTGAGTGCGGACAGGGATCTGTTTGCTTTATCGTCGATCAAGTATCGTAAACCGCAATGGGACAATAACAAGGGGACGGAGGTAGTACTAAAATACTCCTGATTAATAAAATATTATTATAACTATTATAGTCACTATAGTGTAGAGTTGAATATATTTACGACCACTATCATTGAATGTAAAAGATTATCATCGCTCTATAATAAGATTGAGGTTTTTCGTTAAATAAGGTCCGTTTTTAAATTACCATTGAATGTAGCAGATTTCTCTGATTTGTGTATCCATTTGTAGCACATTGAATTCGCTCCTCCATTTGGTGTGTACATTGATAGCACATTAGATGATTTTCTCCACTTGGCGTATTCAATCATAACACGTCAAATGTTGTTCGTCTCTTTGTGTCTATATTCATAACAAATTGGATTCTCTTCGCACTATATTACATCATAGAACTATATTACTATAAATACAGGGACTCACTTAATGGACTCACACAACTCATCTTTAATTCTCCTATTTTCAAGTTTCCTACAACTAGGTCAAATGTAAAGTATAAGTTCTTTTCATATATTACACATTTCTATTGATGAAGAAGAAGATGTGTGCTCCCACCGCATGTACATAACTATGATGACTTCATTTGTTGCAACGAGCTCCAACAACCGCGAGGACACCACCTTGGCCTAGAAGCTAGACAACTCTATTGATATGTGATTAGTGGAATCCAAACCTCACTTACAACGTATATATCATCTAGGTCCATTTTCAAATGTAGTCGTCTTTGTTCAACTGTATCATGAAAGACAACATGACCTTTGATTCGTATTAGGAAATTACGACAAATGCTCTAATCATATTTGTCTTTCTCCTCAATGTGTGATGTGTGATATTTATTCTCATCAATGGTTGCTCAACTAATTCATTAGATCAACTGTGTCGTTTGGTTGAGAGCATCACACTTTTGTGCAATTGGAAATTCTATAAGGCGATTTTAAGTGCGTATGTTCTATGGTACTGTATTGACAGACTACATGTAATTGCGAGGGCAAAAAATTATCCTACAACATGGGGGGAATTTATCCTAACCGGGTAAAACAAAAACCAACAATTGTGCTTGAGACAGTTGCTTCTTATGACACCATATTTGACATGCATTTTTTCGGCACTGCATGTCACAATAATGACCTAAATACTGTGGCAAACTCTCTAATCTTTGATGTACTTGTGAGTGGATCCACCCCTCAAGTGGAATTTTGCCATGATAAGCACTATAATCAATTTTACTAGATGTGCCCCCTAAGATTGGGACAAGAGAGAGTGATGTGATTTTTAAGAAAAGTGGAATTGTGTGATTGATATTAAATAGGTAAAGTGAATAATTTAAGAATGAGTTACAACCACCCAGATATTACCAAATGTGGTATGATACAAATTTAGTGGGACATATGAAAAAGGTAAATGAGCCAAAAATAGGGGGATAGAGAGAGTATTATTTAGCTAATGGGATTTACCCTTTTGTTAAAGACCAATGAGCTTGCCAGAGTTGAAGTTATTATTAAATCCGACAGTACAGAAAATGCATGTTAAATAGGTACACTATAAAGTAACTGTCTCGAGCACAAATGTTGGTTTTCCGTTTGTACCTTGTGTATTGCCCTCCCCAAGCTATATACTAGTTTTTTTCACTCAGAGTGCATGCAGTCTACCGATCCAATCATCTCAGGAAAGTCTCTCTTGGATTCTTTTCAAGAAAACGATGCAGATCTTCGGGGTTAGGTGTCCGTATTTACCAAGAATCATACACACTGATAATTTCCCTTTGGAGTTTTCTCATGCACAAATATGTGGTGCTCTCTCGAAAAGGCACAACTGATTTAATGAATTAACCGAGCAATCATTGGTGAGTATAAATATCGCACTAGTAATTTCATATTGAGAAGAAAGAGATACTTAATTTGGAGCACCTGTCATACTTGCAAATTACGATCAAAGTTGAGGACGTCTTTCATGATGTGGTCGAACAAAGACGCTAAAATGATGTCGGAAAATACGTGCCTTGTAGGTGGAGTTTGGATTCAGAATAATCTATCAATAGACGTTGTTTACCTTCTAGGCATAGCACTCACCATAAATGAAGTCATCATAGGATTCATAGCCACACATAGACCGGGAGTAGGGATCTTCTTCATCAATGGATTTGTGTAATGTAAGAAAAGAATGTCATGATTAACTTTTGACCTAGTTGTGTACTAAAGATTGGAGAAGTAAAGATGAGTTGTGTGAGTCACATGTTATGTGAGTACATGTAATTATAATAATATGATTTTATGATATAATAAGGAGAGAATTCCCTAAATACGAGTAAAAAAGTTTTGAAATTCAAAAATAGGAGTATCATGTTTTTTATTCCTTGAATAAGAGTAAATTTCTGCCAAGTTTGACATACTAGACTTTAAAACATGGCATTTTTTTCCAAACTTGGCAGATTACTCCTATTAAAGGAATAAAAAACATGATACTCCTATTTTGGAATTTCAAAACGTTTTTGCTCCTATTTAGAGCAATTTCTATATAATAAGTGGAGATGAGCATTCAATGTTATCATTGGATATACTAAGAGATGATCACCCGATTTGCTATGAATGAACACACCAAGTTTAGAAGAGAATCATATGTGCTATGGATAGAGACACCCATTGAATAAGAGAATAAATGCTCCTAAAATGTTCATACATGATTTAATTGAATAGTTTCATACGAAAATATGATAATAATCAAACTTTACTTGAATCCTCATATTTTTATTAACCTAAAAAAATAAAAGAAAATATTATGCAGCTTATATTTTCAAATGTTTTAATTAAAGTTTGACTAAAGTGTAATTAAAGTTTTACTAAACGAATGTGTAAGGAAACATAAATTGATGTAAGAAAATATGTAAGGAAATATCAAATATTTTTAATTAAAATATTAGAAAAAAATAAGAGAAAACGTGTATTTAGAAGAAAAAAACAAAAAAGCATTACTTATAATAGTAAAACAAAAAAAGCATTACTCATAATAGTTTAATTAAAGTTTTACTAAATGAATATGTAAAAAAATACTCCCTCTGTCCCCAATAATTTTGCCAAGTTTGACCAGCACGGGGAATAATAAAGTAAAAACTGTGTGGTTAAGATTTGTGCAGAGGAGAGAGAATGAGCTGGAACCACAAATTCTTTACTTAAAAGGGAAAATGGCAAAGTTAGTGGAACATCCCAAAAAAAAAAATTGGTAAAGTTATAAGAGACGGAGGGAGTATGTAAGGAAAAGTCGTATCGACGAAGTTATTATTTTAACGTTTGTACTTAAAATTTGAAATGGTGCAAGAATGGCGTTAGTCTAGGATCCTATGTGTCCAAAGCATATGTTTTTAAGATTTTGAACTCTTAAGAGCCTGTTTACTAACAAATATAATTTCCAGTTTTTCAAAAAACTGGAAAACTGGAGAAAGGAAAATATGAAATTACGTTTACCAAAACAAAAAAAAGATGTCTCTGTTTACAATAATGAATTAGAGAAATGACTTTTACTAGTTTTCCGAATTTGGAAAACGTGGATGTTGCAGTGCCGCCGCAATGAATTTGCATACTTACGCTTACTGGTCAATGACCCGATAGTCCCTATCTGGTCTGGTTCATGTCTGGTCCGATCGATGGCCGAGCAATCCAGGTCCAGTCCCATCGACGACCTGGTGGTCCCCGTTCGATTCGGTCGACGACCCGGCGGTCCCTGCTTGGTCCGGTCAATGACCCGACAGCCCTTGTTCGGTCCGATCCATGACTCGGCGGCCCTTGTCCAATTCGATCGATGACCCGATGGTCCCTGTCCGGTCAGATCCACAACCAGGCAAAACTTGCTCAGTCCGATCGACGATTGGGCAATCTTGGTCCGATCCGGTCTAGTCAACGACACAGCGGTCCCCGTCCGGTCCGGTCAAT